AAAAAAAAAAGAAAAAAGAAACTATAACAAAACATTACAAAAAATAAACAAGTTGTTTTTTTCAATATTTTTCACATGATTTATTAGTTTCACTGGCCTAACCGGTGACCGATAGCTTAAGCGCCGGGAGTGTATTATTATGTTGACGCTTATCGGCGTTCTTAACGGCTAATTCGGCTGCCTCACTGGCTGCCCCGCGAAGATAAGATTCTCGAGGAATGGCACACCTTGCGTTTCTTAAGTTTGCAGCGACCATGCGGAGAGCAAGTCGTCTGCTTATTGCGCAGAAATAGCTGTGACGTCAGAACGACGCCAAGTTCTGATTGGTTGATCGAAAAAAAAGCGGGTAATTCTCAATTTTGGGTGCCTCGAGGCCTACCCACTATTTTTTGATCAGCCAATGACAGCTCGGCGTCATTCTGATGTCACCGCAACCCCGGCGCAAGGAGCAGACGCCTTGCTCTCAATCATACATTTAAACATGATTTAAACTTGATTTCAATCATACATTTAAACATGAATAGAGCGAAGGGCAGACAAGGACGTGGGCACAAAGAGTGTGTCCTTGTATCGCGCTATTCATGTCTAATATGCTAAAACGCCTAAATTTATCAAACCCTGATAAATTTCCTTATCTAACTGGTTGCATAAACCAATCGCGCAGGCCTGTTATCAGAGCAATCAGAGCAAAACCACGAAGCACTTCTACTTTGCCAGTTGGAAAAGAGAATGTACCCGCTTGTTTGTCAGCAAGACTAAGTCACGCTTGGGACGTTTATACGCAAGGAGGAATCAACCGCACGCTGTGAAACAACAGGCTTACCTTGACTGAAATAATTGGATGACCCGCTCTGCGATTTCAAGAGATATACAATATGGCTATAGAATGAATGTATGTGACTATTCTTCGATTACCTTTACAAGCCGCATGCTGCTACGTCTGGACCGTGGAAACCGCAAGAACCCAACGTTCACCCTTGCTCGGAGGCAAAAGGTGGCAACACAAAAACGTTTTCAATTATTTCTTTAAAAAAGTTATGGAAAAACAAGCATTCAAAACCGGCTTTCTACCGCTTTAATGGTTAAAAGAGTACTAGTTCCTTTTTTCGCTGTATGCTCCTCCAAGTGACACCGTTCAGACGAACTTAAAGGAGCTTGTTACTTGCTTTCTTTGAACAGGTGCACCCATTGTGGAAGCTGGTGTTTCTGAAAAGGCACCTAATTTGGAGTCCGTTCATGACCGGAACTTGACGGAAAAGCAGAATATGCTCCTCGCTTGCCTTCTTTTACGTACCTTTCACGAGGCTTGTCAAGCTGTAAAAAGGCCACTCGTGTGTCGTATAGCGACGTCGTAGTCATTCGTCTGCCCATATTTTCTCATTACGGCGTTCCAACCAGCGAGCGGCGTCGCTATATATGCGTACGCACGTACGCAAGCATATTAGGGTGTTTCATCGATAGTTTACGGGTCCTCAGGTGGCGGGTTCGAAGCCCGGCCGAGGTACTGCCTGCATTCCGGCGACGGATTATTGTGGACAAGGCGCCGTGTAACCTAGATGTCGGTTGCACGTCAAAGGGTGCCCAGGTGGTCGAAATTAATCCTCAGCCCTCAGGTGGGGCCTGCCAAAAACCACAAAAACTAATATTTTTTTATTAAAAACAAACAAACAAAAAACATTGGGTAGTTTGTGTTTCAGTTACTGACTGCGTAGTGCTCTCTTTGGTCTTCTAGTTTGTTAGATGGTTCAATGAGATATATGGACAAGCAACAAAGTGTTTAATGCTACCTTGTATGTTCACACAGGTATTAGCTAGGACTCGAGCAGCTGCATAAGCTCTGCTTAGAGAGACAGAGTATCGGGTTCCTTTTCCTTCGATCACGTGCTCCGAGCTCGAACTCGGAGGTTCCTTCACCTCCGAGTTCGAGCTCGTTGTCTTTTATGACACGAGCGATGTTTTAAAACATGTTTCCGAAGTCTGGGAAGCAGACGACACAGAGGACGATCGCGTCTGCGGCGCTCGCGGAGTGATACACGACCGGCACATCCGGGCAACTCAGACCAAACAAAAACAAGCAGCAACGGCTTTCGAAGCAACGTTCTTTTGTTGTTTCAAAGGGACCAAGTTTTCGTCGGCTACTGCATTCTACCCAAGACAGAGAGAAACAGGAGACAAATGACTGGACGACGGCGCACGCGCGGCGTGTCGCCGCACTATCTTAAAGGCCCGTTCACACTCTTGCGACCGAGTACGACTGAGAGGGACGAGATCTCTAAAGGCCCGTTCACACTCTTGCGACCGAGTACGACTGAGAGAGACGAGATCTCTTAAGGCCCGTTCACACTCCTGCGACCTCTTAAACCTAGGTTCCTTAAAACTTCTTAAACCAGAGAACACACTGGCGCCATCTATTGGGAAGCAGTGTAAACTCGGCGGTCCGGCATATTTTGTTTTATTTCTCGCGCATTATCCTTTCTTTCTTGGCTCGAAAAACTTTTGTCAATGTTATAAACGAGCCTTTCTATGGTTATTACGCACATTTGACCTCGGAAATCCCGCAAAACCTTCGCTCTTATGAAATGCAGTTCCAGGGTCACCGCATAGATGGCGCCACAATACCAGTGTGTTCCCTCATTCTAAAAACATTTAAGAAGTTTTAAGAGATCCTCGTCTCTCTCAGTCGTACTCGGTCGTACTCGGTCGCAAGAGTGTGAACGGGCCTTTACAACTTCTTAAATGTTTCTAGAATGAGGGGACACACTGACATTGTGGCGCCATCTATGCGGTGACCCTAGAACTGCATTTCACAAAATCGAAGGTTTTGCGGGATTTCCGAGGTCAAATGTGCGTAATACCCATAGAAAGGCTCGTTTATAACATTCACAAAAGTTTTTCGAGCCAAAAAAGAAAGGATATTGCGCGAGAAATAAAAAAAAAATATGCCGGACCGCCGAGTTTACACTGCTTCCCAATAGATGGCGCCAGTGTGTTCTCTGGTTTAAGAAGTTTTAAGGAACCCAGGTTTAAGAGGTCGCAAGCAGTCGCAAGAGTGTGAACGGGCCTTTACAACTTCTTAAATGTTTCTAGAATGAGAGAACACTAAGAGAACACACTGACATCGTGGCGCCATCTATGCGGTGACCCTAGAACTGCATTTCACAAAAGCGAAGGTTTTGCGGGATTTCCGAGGTCAAATGTGCGTAATACCCATAGAAAGGCTCGTTTATAACATTGACAAAAGCTTTTCGAGCCAAAAAAGAAAGAATATTGCGTGAGAAATAAAAAAAAAAAATATGCCGGACCGCCGAGTTTACACTGCTTCCCAATAGATGGCGCCAGTGTGTTCTCTGGTTTAAGAAGTTTTAAGGAACCCAGGTTTAAGAGGTTGCAAGCAGTCGCAAGAGTGTGAACGGGCCTTGATTCTCTGCTCCGCACGCCGCAGCACGCCGCCTCATCACAGCCACGCTATCCGCGCCTCGGGACCTTTGCAGAAGCGACGGTCGCTTCCCGCAGCACGGCCTTGGACCCGACGTTAAGAAAAATTTCTTTGAGAAATTGATATTTACAAACTGAACCCAAGTTAAATATTTATTGAAACAAATAATTTGAACTTTAAAGGAGCTTGCTGTCTATTTAAAATGCCACCTGACCAATGTAGCTGCGCTCACTTTTGTTCACCGTAGCGGCAGGCCCGTCTCTGCCAGTGGCTTGCGTTTCCTTCGCCAGTTCGCTTCCAGCACTGGCTTCCAGCGAGTTTTTTAGGTGCTATGAAATAAAGGGCTACGCTTGGGGATAAACCAAAGCATAGCTCTCCAGCAAGATTGAGCTCCCCAGTACGGGTTCGTTGGTTCACACCTTGCGTCGCCCCGGAATGTCCGCATCGGCTGACGAACTTTGCTGTGGGAAGCTGGGTGGTACTTGCGTCGGAGGCCAAGTCGGTTCCCTTGGCCACACCGACTAACTCGATAGGAGGGGGTTACTTTTATATAAATGATTTAATACTGTCGTAGCGAATAAAGGTACATAGCGAAACCGAGCTGCAAAGATTACTCTCTAGTGCGAGGTGGGAAGGAGGTGCTCGGGTGTTAGCCATACTTGGCTGGCTCGTAGGATAAAATCCCGATTACGGGGGCATTGTCCCTCGAAGTCAATTGACGGGGTTCGATTACGGAGCGTGAGCTCTCGAGCTCCAGCACAAAGTAGAACCACTAGAAATCACTTGTTGGCCCCCCCCGCTTTTTGGTAGACCTGCGATTCTCCGATGCGTCATGAAACGGGCGTTTCCCAGTGGCCGAGAGTGCACAACCAGTCGGCTCACTTCTCCACCATGGGGAAATCGCTTAATTTTCCTGTGTGATGCTCCACCATGGGGAAATCGCTTTATTTTCCTGTGTGATGGACACGAGCAAATGACTCCTTAGAACTCGTGAGGCGAGTCGGACAGCCGTCCCCGATGTGGACAGCGCCGACGATCATTCCGCCAGACGTGGTCCAACATTGCCCAGTCAACCACCGCACTCTCCGATAGCTCTCCCGACCGGAAACGCACGTTCCGGTTCTCTCGGCTGGAAGCGCGAGTTTTGACCCTCGCATCGCAAAGTACACCAGTCTATCCAAGTCGCCCTCCACCGAGGGAAGTGTTCGCCAACGCTTTCCTAGCAGCCAGTTCCCTCTTGTGCTAACGGTCCACCGTTAGCACGAGAGCATTAGCAAAAGTGTAAGGATCGCCTTCGTCGATCCTTACACCCACGGTTGGGCAAAGAGGGCCTTTCAGACGATGCGCTCGTACGGAACAGTAATCCAATGTCAATTCTATATACAGTAAAGCCTCGTTATAACAAAGTTCAAGGAGCGGTCGTAATTATTTCGTTATAACCATTAGTTTGTTATAGCCAATGTCCATTTCCCACTATTAGCAAGCAAGGGGAATTATGATTGTTTTGTTATATCCATTAGTTTGTTATATCCCATTTTGTTATAACGAGGTTTAGCTGTACAATGTATTTATTAAAAAAAAAAATCTCGCCAGTGTCACTTTTGTTTTTGGGTTTCCCCAGTGTCGTTAGGAGCGCAACCCCGTGTGCCTCCTCCCCCTCCCCCATCATTGAGTTCATCTACTGCTTCTGGTCACCGCAGGCGTGCTGCCTCCTCATGTGGCTTCCGAGTTCACCTGGGGACAGGAACCCTTTGCCACAGTCCCCGCACTTGTGGGGATACTCTTTTGAGTGTGCCCCGATCAGGTGCCTCGTCACGCTGCTTAAATCAGAGGCCCTGTAGCAGCACAGGTGACAGGCATAGGGCTTCTCGCCGGAATGGGTTTGCCTGTGCCTTGAGAGGTGACCTCTCTCAACGAATCCTCTCCCACACTCTGGGCAGACGTGGGGCCGCTCTCCGCTGTGCGTGCTTTCGTGCCGCCTCAAGTCTGCCGGCTGGGCGAACTTCTGCCCGCACTCGGCGCACTCGTGAGGACGCTCGCCCGTGTGCACATTCTGGTGCCTGGTCAAGTTGCCCTGCTGCGTGAAAGCCTTGCCGCAGGTGCCGCACAGGAAGGGCCTCTCTCCCGTGTGGGTGCGCTCGTGCTCGAGTAGGTGTTGTTTTTTATCGCTGGAGTAGGGGCAGTGACCGCATCGGTGCCTGCCCTCTGTCCTCTCGTGCATCCTCTTCCGGTGTCCCTGGAGGTGCTCGAGGGAAGCGAAGATGCTGTCGCAGTCCCCGCACGCGAAGCTCTCCGCTGGCCCCTCGAGGGACGGTGCATCTTCTTGGCCTGCACATGGACGAGCAAGACAAGGGGTGCAGAGTGTTAAGTGGGAACAGTAAACCGTAACATCCCGAGAGATGCTCCTCCCCCGAAAGGTAACCCGCCCCCCATTTTGGGCTCGATTTGTTATTTTCTTTGAAAACACAGAAAGATAGCCCACTCTTAGTAAACCTAGTGTTCGGATGAATGATGATCTTGGCGTAAATGCGTCCGGTTAACTAGGGCGGGATATATAAGCGAACATTGCTGTCTCAGAAGTACAGCCATATTTCCTTCATTGCCCCCTCGCTGCGATAACCCTTACAGAAGAAACACATATAATTTTCATACAGATTGACCCGTTTGGGTCACACAATGTTATGGACATACGGGTCCCGTATGCAAACAGGTCGTCCTATATGCAAACATGTCACAAACAGGAGCACCCGACCAGATACGGGTCGACCTGTTATGCGGATTGACCCGTTATGCAGGTCCACCCATACGATTCCTGTTCAGAAAAAGGTAAGCTGGCAACCCCCGGTCTGCCTTTCGTATTCCGAGGCTCTCCACTGAAATGAAATCCTGACACCCTTCCTGAAAAGAAGATGCAAGTAACTAAAACAAGGTCTCGAAAGCAGGTACAGTTGACGAAACAGATTTGTTACAGGCATGACAAAAGCAAATAGCCCAGCACTGTCATCATATCAACAGGAAAACTAGGTTCCCAAAAGCAGCTTAAAACTGCAGCTTCCTGTCGGCATCTTGAAGTTGCTCCGCGATATACTTGTTCATGAGACCCTTTTGTTTCCTAGGCGACACATCCGATGGTGCTTGTTTGATGTACATGTCAAAGGAACCTGAAAATGAAGAGAACATGGAAATTATTCATATGGATTGCTGTTAAGTCAAACCCGTTTATGTCGAACTCGGAAAAACCCGTCGACCAGTTCGATCTAGCGAGTAATTCTATATAAAATTTTTAATGAATTTGACAACGAACAAGCACGCCACATCTAGAAACGTTTACACTCAAAGGAGCGTTCGAGGATGAGGGACGCTCCATGCGGCTATTCAGAGGCCGCTTCTTCCGTCTTTCAAGGTCTCACCGGCTCACCCTCTCCCCATTCCCTACAGAAAAGATCATTTTTTTTCTCCTTTTGGGCGATTAAAGCGGTTGCCCCAAAAGAAAAAAAGCCAGCTTTCTCTGCAAGCTGGTTTTTCCCCAACGAGTTTCTCGCAACGGGGGGAAAGCCGGCTTGCAGAGCAGTTCGATCTGTCGGGAGACGCTGCAATTCCCGTTCAATGTGACCACATTTTTCGCTATGCATTATTATTGCAGCTCCCGGTCTGTTCACAAATAGTTTGATACAAGGATGGTTCGAATTAACTGGGTTCTATATATAATTCGGTCTACCTGTAGCCCTAGAAAAAAAAAACATCAGAATCGCATGTTAATTTGTTGTAATATTGTACTTATTTAAAAAAACACTGAAACCAGAAAAAAAAACTTTTTTTATACCTAATTAGGACAGGCATGTCTCAAAACTAATCTTCGTCGAAAAAAAAAGAGAAGTTTTCCCAATATTTATGTTATAAAGCGCGAAACACATGTACGACGAAACCGTCCGATCCGACGTACGAACTGCCGGAATGGCCTTCGAGGGCAAGAGTTTTTGTAGCACCGGAGAGCGTTGAAAACCCTCGCCTCCGACTGTCGTATTGCCTGATCGGACGGTTTCTTTGTACATGTGTTTTGCGCTTAATGCGAATTTTTCGATTTGCGAGCGAAACCGAAATTGTACTTCTATGGGATGATGTTGATAGCTTTTGTACCCCTCAAGTGAGCCGCATGACAACGCTCAAGTCCTTTTTCCCTGCAGAATCATGCAAAGAGTTCTGCAGTGGAATTGCCAGGGGCTGCGCAAGAGGGCGGCGGAGCTCGGGGCTCGACGTACCATCGGAACTCCCAGATATCCTACTCCTGCAGAAAACTAACACGACAGAGATTGCATTACCAGGGTTTGAGGCGTATTCGTGCCCATCCATCACTAACAAAAGGTTTGGGGAGGGTCCCACAGGCAGAGCAATGATCGATGTGAGCACAGACTCACCACGCTGCCAAATCGACGCCACGCAGTTTTGCACCGACGACCAAGAAGTTGTTACCATTAAGATTTCCTGGCAACAGAAATATATAACGATGGCTTCTATCGGCTTCTTCATTGCCTTGTATGCCAATGTGACTGGGTACCCAACAAAATTTTATATTTTGACCTCCATGCAAAGCAGAGTTAATTTTATATTGAATCTGTTGTACAAGCATATTTTTAGTGTCTTTAAGAGAGCAAACTGCAAGAATCACACTTTGAGAGTCAACAGGACCACCCTCAGTATTTTCCTATTGATAATGCATTCGATCGCCATTGATACCGCATAGAGCTCCGCAGTAAAAATGCTGGCAATACAATCAAGTCGTTGAACCTTGGAGAAGCTTTCAGAATACACAGCACAACCGACAAAAGAGGAGGTCTTGGCACCATCTGCATAAACATGAAGATAACCATCATACTTAGTCTGCAGTTCACCAAACTCTTGCTTAATTACAGCATGGGAAATGCCGTGCTTGCTGAACTTCGCGAGAGACCAGTCGGATTCAACTCGCTGTGCTTTCCAAGGTGGAATACCGTTGACTTTCCTAACAAGGCCAACCTGGTCTTGAGGAAGGTGCAGAGAAGTGCGAAGATGTTTAATACGGAAGCTCAACAATGTCACAATGCTTGGTTTATTTTCAAAAAGGCGAAAGAACCTCGACCTTGTAGGTGAAGAGTACGTCGGATGCTGGGGGTCGGCCACAATCTTGTAAGCATATGTTAGACTAAGATATGTACGTCGTTTGTTCAGGGACAGCTCTTTGGATTCTGCATGCAAACTGAGGACGGGCGACGTCCGGAAGGCTCCTGTTGCCAGTCGCAAGCCGAGATGATGAACCGAGTCCAACATCTTAAGGGCAGAGGGCCGAGCCGATCCATACACTACTGCACCATAGTCAAGACGGGATCATACAAGGGCATTGTATAACTGCAGGATACATTTTCTATCAAACCCCCGAGACTCGTGAGATAAAACTTTCAAAAGGTTTGAGGACTGAAGGCATTTTTGCTTCAGCGCTTTAAGGTGGGAAATAAAGTTAAGCTTTTTATCAAATATTACACCAAGAAATCGGTGCTCCCTTCTAACTGGGATAGGGGTTCCATTCAATTCCAGGGATGGATCCAAAGACAATCCGCGTCGCAAAGAAAAAGGCACACAGACCGTTTTCGAAGCAGAAAACTTGAACCCATTTTCGTCGGCTTACTTGGACAGTTTGTTTACAGCTAACTGGAACTGGCGCTCACGACTAGAAAGGTTACAAGACGATAATGAAATCTGTATATCATCAGAATAAAGAGACTATGAAATAGAAGGTGGCAGAAGTTGTACGAGTGAATTCATTGTTAGCAAAAACAAAGTCACAGTTAAAGCACCCCTTGAGGGACTCCATTTTCTTGAACAAAGGAATCTGATAGGGCTGAGCCGAGACAAACTTGGAAAGTCCCGTCTGTCAGATATTCCTTTATGCTTCGCAGCATACGGCCCCGGATGTTACAGGCATACAGGTTTCGGAGAATCCCATACCTCCACGCTGTATCATATGCCTCTCCAAATGCTGCCGGTTTACAAATGCCTCACGTATCACAGCTTTCAAGCGTACCAGGTGGTCAAGGGTAGATTGACTTTGGCGGAATCCACATTGACTGTTATCAAAGACCCTCTGGCTTTCTAACATGTAGACCAGTCGCCTGTTTATAAGCCTTTCATATGTCTTCCCAAGGCAGCTTGTCAGTGTAATTGGGCGGTAGCATAAGGCTTTAGGAGGGGGATGATATGTGAGTGTTTCCAAGCCTGAGGGAAACATGCCTTTTCCCACAAAATATTAAAAAACAGGAGATGGTTTTCAAGGGATTCTGGAGAAAAGCGGCGCAGCATTTCATAATGAATTCCATCGGGACCAGGGGCAGAGAGCTTTGTCACATTACGAGCCATCTCAAGCTCGCACTGTGTAAATGGTTGGTTATAAGATGCTGAATTTCCTCTTGACATGACAAGCTTTTTTGTTCCACACAAGCTTTTAACTTTTCAAAGGTGACACTGTAGTTGGCCAAACTAGATGAATTATAAAAATGTTCACTGAGTATGTTACCAATATCTTTTAGTGACGAAGAAGGAGCATTAAACGTTGAAATGGCAAAGCACCTATAATCCCCATTTACTTTCCTGTATCTGTCACAGGCCTCTTTGGCCGGGACGAAGCTGGTTAAGGAAGAGGGATACTTCATCCACGACTTCCGCTTTGCCTGTTTCCTAGTCCAACGAGCCTTGGCTTTTCGTCGCTTAAACTCTACAAGGTTGCTTGAAGTGGGGTATCTGCGAAATCTGCCCCATGGCCTATTTTGGTCCGCCCGGGTTGTGGCACACTCCTTATCCCACCAAGGTTTACATTTTTTGGGTATATCACCAGATGTTTGTGGAATGGACTGCTGAGCAGCCTTGAGTATCTGCTCAGTAACATAAAGAGTAACGTTCTCAGGGGACATAGAAGAAATAAGGATCTAAAGTGGAGTGAAGATTAAAAAGTGCCCAGTCTGCCTTGTCTAACTTCCACCTAGGGACCCGCTTTAAAAGATTAGGCAATGGAACGGTACTCTCTAAAACAACTGGATAATGATCACTTCCGAAAAGGTTTTGAAGAACCTTTCTGGGGGAGCAAGGAAGTAATGAAGGTGAAGCAATAGGAACATGAATGGATGTGAATGAGTTGTGTGCCGCACTAGAAAAGGTTGGTTCTCTCCCGTTAAGAAGGCACAGCCCCGAAGACAATAAAAGACGTTCAATCATACCACCACAAGAGTCTTGACGGGTACTACCCCATAGGATGATGAGCGTTAAAATCGCCCAAAATTAAAAAAGGTTGCGGGAGCTGTCCTACAAGTTCCTGCAGCTCTTAAAGGTTTAAAGGAACGTTAGGTGGTAAGTATAAAGAAACAATTGTTACAAGGCGGTCCAGAAAGAGACGTACTGCAACAGCTTCCAGTGGCGTGCAGAGGGGAACTTGAGAGCAAGCAACTCCACTCTGCACGACCACTGCAATACCACCAGAAGGGGAGGAAAAGGGGCGATCTTTCCTAAAAACCTGATGACGTCTTAAAATGTTAAATGAATGAGAGTGAAGATGGGTTTCTTGCAAGGCGAGAGCAATGGGCTGAAGCTGATCCACGAAATAATTGACATCATTTCTTAAATTACCGCGACAGTTCCATTGCATAAAATGTAACTTAGTCATCTATAAAAGGTATGTAAATATGCAACTGAAAAATAAACCTAGTAAAATAAGTAAGACTGTAGAGTCAATACAAACTAGGTGAAAGGCATTGGGATCATCATTTGGGTGGGACTACAGGCTTCTTATTCTTTTTATGTTTACTGGAGGGCGTTTCTCACTTTATATTGCCCTGGTCAGACTCAGGAGTGGACAGATTGTCAGCATCTGTCGACATCTCCACCTCCTGAGAGGTATCCAATGTTTTTAGAACAGCACTTGTTCGGCCAGGTGTGCGGGGGGGGGGGGGCAAACTCTGACCACGATCGGCTGGGGGGGTTGCAGACGAACTGGGCGTCGGGTCGTCTGAGCTCGTCTGGTTCCCTCCTTTCCCAGGAGCTGCATGGACACCATGCTTCACCTTCGGTAGGGGGCCCTCTCTAGCGAGCAAGAGCAAGAGGCTCGCTCCGTCTCCCCAGAGGGTGACCTAGGAGAGGGGGCAGGGGCGGCTGCTGCCGGCATGTCCCTGGAAGGAAAGCAGCACGCGTTCTACCACCAGGGACCGGAGGAGGCAGCCGCTGCTCCTGTCGGGGAGCTGGGGCCCTGCAGTCGGCCGCCAAGATCTCGGGAGAGACCTGGGTGGCCCTTGACTCCGAGCGCGGTGCAGGGCCCCTGCGCACCACCTCGACCAAACTCCCCTTTGACAAAAAGGAGAACTGCTTCTTGGCTTCTGGGTATGGTATGTTTTCCTTTACTTTGATGGTAAGAATGTCCTTTTCTAGCTTCCAAGGGGGACATGCACGATAATAAGCAGGATGTGGTCCACCGCAATTAGCGCAGTGGGCCACAGCCGCCTCGCAAGTATTGGAAACGTGACCCTGACTACCGCACTTCGCACACGTCTCCTTCCCTCGACAGCTGCGTGTTCCATGACCGAAATGCTGGCAACGGAAGCACCGCTGGGAGTTGGGGACGTAAGGGCGGATGCGGCAGTTCAAGTAAGGCACACTCTCGGGGAGAGTGTGCCTTTCAAAAGTCAGGATAACGTGTCTCGAAGGGATTTGTTTGCCATCTTTCGTAAACATAATGTGTTTTACAGCGACGACACCGGCACCTTGGAATCTTTCGAGGAGTTCTTCTTCACTAGTGTGCAAGAAGTCATCCTCAGAGAGGACTCCACGGATAGTATTTAGTGAGCGATGAGGGCTCACCGACACTTTCACGTCAACGATGGTAGTCAGTTTAAGGAGTGTGTCACTTTGTTTTTTTTTGTATTCACTTCCTCGGAGAAGGTCTCCAGTGTGCTGCTTTTTTGCCTTGTAGGAAAGCCCTACAAGGATTTCTAGCACCTTTGCTACAATAAAAGGCGACAGCTTCGAAACAGGTTTTTGTTCATCCAGCGAATGAACGATGAAAAACTTTGTAAATGTTTGTGCTTCACATTCTTTGTCGATGTTTTTTTTGTTCGGGGCAGCGCCTTTTAAGGGCGTGACCGGAACGGAGTTTAGAGGGGTGGGGTGCCATAAGAGGGCGAAGAGTGTACAGAATCCGTGGTTCACCATCCACCATCGAGCCCAACAAGGGGTTAGGTAACGCACCATAACAAGGAGGGCTTGGCTGGAGACGTTACGCTAACAATGCTGCCGGGAAACTATACTTAAGTGTGAGTCAAGACAGAGGTCCATTGCCACCCAAGGTTAGCCCTTGCCGCCAAAGAGGGGTGAAAAAGGAGTAAGAGAAATGAGATAGAAGTAAAAGAAACAGGAAAGGTAAAAGTGAAAAATCGGAGGGGATAGGAGAAGAAAAGGCGACTAGACTGAATCATCCTGGCCGGGCCTTACCAGGACTACCGTCTACAAGAAGCCGGGGCCGAAGTGGTGTATTGCCCCCCCGGGGGGCCCCGAAGGGTTTAAACCTACCCCGGGCTCGGTTCAACCACCAGGGTGCCCTTTTCACCGGACACGGTAAAGCCACGCACAGCCAGACGTGGGCGGGCGAACCTGCATGGCTCGGGGTCCGTGGAGACGCCACTCTCCAAACACCTGCTTTCACAGGCGCCCCCTGCGGGGGTTGGGCACAGGGAAACCCACAGGTAAGGCCTTCAAACACAGGGTGGTGTCGGGTATTTGAAACACTAACACATGGGTCGGTTTCCATCTAAATCATTTTGCATAACCGAATACTTACATACAGAGCTCCGTGTAAGTTTGGAATGAGGCAAGCGACATCAGATTTTGGTGCAGAAACTGGCCTCTAATTCTAAGGAGGTCATCCGAGGTTGGAATTGGTAAGTGCAGCGAGGAGTCCACATTGTGTGCAATTCATTATTGTAAGAGATGGTACAGTTTATTCTACCATGGGCAGATATGATCTGCATGCAGAACATTGTAGGCCAAGCTCATGTAATTTATTGTGGGCAACTCCAAATGAATAATCATTACACTGTACTTCGGTGTAAACAGCAATAAAAGGCAGGTTGTGGCCTTTTCATCCTCCTAGTGCCCACACAGCAGGTGCACCTGCAGACAGTGCATGCGTGGGGGCAGCCGACATGTTCTTCCACATTACATGGTGCGTGCTAGTGCACCTGCTATGTGGGTGTTGGGGGGGAGGGGGGGGCGTCAATATCACGGCCCACCTGCTGCTGTAATAGTACTTCATAAACCCAAGTTCAATCTGGATTCTCTATTCCTGGTACAGGTATGTTGCATACCACCAGTTTGCAAGGTGGATTTGGCGCCGCCTTGGGAGGCACAACAGGAAGATCCTGCCTGCCTGTGTAGTAAAGGCCATTAGGAATGCCTATCCATCAGAAGAATACTGTGGCTTTAGATATCCTGCCCTGTAGGCCTAACATGTTCTCAGTCACCCCAGTGCAATATTGCTGTGCGCAGGGCCGAACAAGCAGCGCTTGGTCACGGAACTCCAAAAGTCTTACTCGGGCTTAACTTTTATCATTTCGTCCTGTTCTCCAAAGTGCCTGTTCATTCTCACCCTGAACACAAGGTGCTCGAACCTTCTGGACCGAATTTTCGCGACGCCGATGAACATTAAAAAAGGAGCTGCCCGTGACCTTGTCGAGTCGGTCTCGCTCTCGCTTCCTGTTACGCCGCCAAATTGCCGCCTGCTTTTCTGCTGTCTCGACGCTCATTCTTTATTTTGTTTGACACAAGTTCGCTGATTAAACCCTTCTTTTCAGTTCATAATTTACCGTCTCTTGGCCTTACTCCGTGACAATACGCGCTTTGGAAGACGACGGGGGTTAAAGTTCCCCAGAGATTTCGCTGTGTTGAGTGGTGCAGCAGCTTCCCAGATTTCGGCTGACCTCATCCACCTCCACCAACCCGGGCAAGAAGTACTGGCTTATGGAACTATTCTGAGCTGGATCCAACATGTCCCAGCGTGGAGTAGTTCTCTAAACCAGTGCATTGACTTTTGCATGGGACTGACTGCAATATCAGAAAGTGAGGCACACCTTACGCCAATATGTGCTATTCTTTTAAAGCATTTGTGTGTTCTAACATGCTGAATAAAAAATTGCAAGTTGATGTGTCAAGTAATTTTTATTCTCCAAGTAAACATATTTTGTATGAAATCAAATGGCTTCAGGAAAGCCTCAGAATGGTAGCCTGTATGCCCTTCTGCTTCAGCTTGGTGAAGCCACAAACAAATGCCACCTTCCCCATGGCGTTGCCTTCCGTCACCTCATCCGACTGGTCACAACGTGTATGCATTAATTTCTTCCAACAGACAATGTACTGCAGCATCAAAGCAAGGCCTCCATAAATGCAATCAGATTTAAAGCAGATAGGAACAGTGGTTGTAAACAAGAGGCAAATCAGTTTTACAATAATTTAGTTTGCCTCAGTTAGTAAATGTTACCTTGCCAACTAGCACTTGCTCAACATGGATTACCTTCCTGGTGACTGCCTCGTGGAAGCTGTAGGTGCAGTACTTTGCGCTGAATCCTGGCGAATCGCAGCGTCCATCCCAGCAAGGGCAATGCTCTTGCCTCGGAGACCTTGCAGAAGCTCAGTGTTCTGCTGCGTCCCGCACCTCACTCGATGACCTGACAAAGCCAACTGAAGCCTAGCGCACCCATGGTCATATAAGCCGTGTTCCAAAATGCGCTCCAACTTCAGGAGTAGAGGTTTCGTACCTTGGCTTTTGAAAATCTACCCTCGTTTTACGCTACCGCTCTAAATTGTCACGTGGTAACCCGCCGGAGTAACCTAAACCTACTCTTGAGTAACTCGCAATGACACACGCGTGATGATTATAGCAATAAGGCGGCATTAAAAAAAAACAAAAAAAAATTACGGTGGACATTTTTTGGGAGATCCGAGATCGCGTCCATACAATCGGGAGATGTGATCAAAATTCGGGAGAGTTGGCAGGTATGCAATTCACAGCAGGCATCGGATTACCAGTCTGACACTTGTTGTAGGTGCGCTCCGAGATGGCTTGAATGCTGACGGACTTGTTGCTCCTCAAGATGGTCGCAGGAGAACCAGCTCCAAAGAGAATGGCTGCGCAAATGCAAACATTGCCTGTTGCTTTGCCACTTACCTTTGGCTGGCACCACCATGTCTCCTGTTGACAATCAGTAGTGTGCCGACAACATCTCTGGTGTTGCAGCAAGGGGCATGGCACTTGCGGCACACCATGAAACGCTCCAAGAGGCACCCTTCAAAAACAATGAACTTCCGCTTACGCAGTCACTGTCGTCACTGAAAATATAAATAAAACTGTAACATATACCGGAGGTTATTTGAAAGTACAGTATAGACCACTTACAACGTAACCGCTTATAGTGCAGGACCGGGTATAACGCGGTTTTTTTAAACCACCGGTTCACCTCCCATAGAACTCCATGTAATTACATACCGCTTAAAATGCAGACGCGCAAAGGGAAATACCGGTTATAGTGCAGTTTTTGGCACAGCCCGCCGACCGCGGCGACGACCGGAGCAGCGAGCTCGCCTCCCTGTGCGACACTAGATAACGGCGCAAGCCACAAGATGCACTCGCGGAGCAAGGAGGTCGCTCGAAAACGCGGGGAGAAGGGAAGAGAGAGGCTTCAGTTGCCATAGCGACGGAGGGACGCACGCACGAGTCGTTCACGTGCGTGCGTCCCTCCCCTGCGTTGGAAACAAAGAAACAAACAACCGCAACGACAGACCAATCGCAGGTCGAGGAGAAGTGTTCGCGCGCGTTGCATGCCGGTCGCGGGCCGGCTGCTTCTATTCCGCAAACATGGCGTCGGTTGTGATCGTCGTCGTAGACGGCGTGCATCTCATCGTTCTGCGTAAAAGCGCTCTCCTTGACTGTGAATTTTCATTGTGTGTCGCTATCATAACCCAGCACGTTCTAGAAGGGAAGATCCACCTACTCGTGCGGCAATGTCGTGGCGACACTCTCAAGACGGCAGAAACGCCCGTGTCGTCGTGTTTGTTTACTTCGACTACAGTGGTGATTTCTAAGCATTTGTGTCCTCGAACATCGCCCGGATTTCTTATTTGGTGCATTTCATGCATGTGCTAAAGTTCAAGGTATTACTGGTGCGTACCGTATGAAGGATGCGAATTTTCACGCGTTTTCATCTCCGGAGAAAAGTGATTAGGGTTAGCAATCCTGAACGCTCGCAACGTCCGTCCGCAACCCGCAACGCCGTTAAAAGGCTGCGCCAGGCAAAAGCCGCTCATTTCTTTCAAAATGTGTGACACACTTGAGACAGAAGTTTTGGACAAGAGTGTGGCTTCACGGCAGTACACGGCGAGCCGCTTGGTCGGTAGGGACGTAGATTCCCCAGAATCCCTCTTAGCTGTTGCTTCCTAGGTACTTCCTCCCGTCTCCTTGTTTATCTTCTTTTTTGGAGTTGTCATCTTTGCATTATCTACGCCAGAGTTGCCACTCCTACTGATTTATCAGCAGATCTACTGATTTTTTCAAAATTCTGCTGATTCAGTGATAATACCACGAAATCTACTGATTTTTCTCCTTTTTGCCTACACGTGGTCTAAAACTACCACTATTGGCTCTAAGGCGCGCCCTCGAGTAATTTCGGCGTACTTTGGTGGGTCATTTCCATCCTCCCTGGTCATTTCACGTGTGTGCGTGTGTGTCTGGGTAGGCTTTGTAAAAAGGAATGAGGAGGAAAAGCAGAATTTATTGCCTATTTTTTTTGCCTTCAAGTACACGATTCTTTGCTCAAAGAACTTGACGGCCTCTCCGGCATATTTTCCCTGACTGGGCTCGCTTTTTAACAATATTCCTGACAATTCCCCGATTTTTCCCGGTAATTAAAATTTCCCAGACAATTCCCGGTTTTCCTGGGAATCGCTTCTTTAAGAACTGCTGCTGCTTGATATCAGGTACTATCGCGGCCAGTATGAGCTGAAACGACACGTGTGGCGCTATCAGCGCCACCTGGCACATTGCTTCGTAAACACTGGCATCAACTGACGCAGAGACACATCTCCTCGTGTGCTCGTGCCACAGCACGCTTCCGGCCTTCTGGTAGCCAGACGGCTGGTGTGGTATTGAGTGCGAAGGTGACAAGGTCACACAATTGTCATTCTCCATAAATATGAACCAAGATCTGAGCGTGAGCCACTCGTCATCGCAAATTGATGGTTGCACAAATCGAGGCTCTGCACAGAAGTACCGCAGAGATTGGTTTGATTAAGTTTTGCAAACAGTTTCATGTATAACTCTCGCCATTCAAGAGAACCAAGGATTGCACTGTAAAACCCAGGGCTGCGGGTTTCTCTCGATCCCCACACCTGCCTGTTGTCATATGGGATGAGCACTATCCAACAGGCCGTGCGTCACTGCTGTGTAATGCCTGTTAAAGCATTCCCCAGCTAAACCTCTCATTTCCAATGCAGCGGCAGAAATGCCGGTTCTGAGGGCGTGTTAGTGAATGCTCCAGAAAGGCCTAATCTGTTTGCAGAAGAAAGTTAAATTCACTCAAGTAAAAATCGCGCAAGTTGGTAAATAACAATTTAATTTGTCCCTTCACTGGCAAAGATGCAGAGGGAAATTATCTAAGAATAAGGCCTTCACAAGTGTCTATAGACAATGGGTTGCATGGTGCACACATCGTGACGAAGATTGGAACGGCGTAACGAACACAGGAGTAAATGTGTCTCGGCCCAGCGTGCGTTTGCCCAGTGATACGACAACCAGCACTAATAGTCCCGAGCGGAAGGTGTCATGACATTTCAGCTCATATTCGCTGTAATAGTACACAATATTCCTCTGCAACCACAGCCCATTGTGGCTCGGTGGAGAAAATTGATAAGTGCAGCGGTAAACAAAGCTACGTCTGTGACGACAGCCAAAGCGATCTTCAGTAAACGGAGGTCAAAAAAGACTAACTCAATTTCTGCAACAAGCATGACGATGTTGGAAACAATTGAAAATTATTTAACTGAGTTACTAAAGATTGTTGATTATGTAAAAACATCACCTTACTCTTTAATAATTAGAGCGATTCCTTGTAGGTGTTAAGTATTGTAACACTCTGTGCAGATGTTCGTGATTGGAACATTCTTCTGTCAGGTCTGTCATTATCAAAAGGAATGGTCCCTTTCTTCACATGCAAGCAACCTTTACGCATATATATTTCATTTTGTATTTACTGAATAAAGAGCACTCAAAGTGGTCAACATGAAGTCATATTGATGACTGCAAATAAATGGTAGAGTCTAGCGTGTTGGGAGCAAAGAGAAACAACTTAATGCCCACGGCTGCCAGCTTGTCAAGAGTCAGTGCCCTCTGCTGAGCTGCTCGCTTCAGCCGCCTGCAGGGCTGCCCCACCACGCTTCGGCGCTGCAGGTTTACAGGACCGAAAACCGCCTTCGTCGCCCCATTGCAGAATATTGAATCTTGAGCTGCATTCAAAATAAAGAAGATGTAATGCTACAAATATCTTTTTGGGGCAGTCGGACCATCATAGATGGTGAGTAAAAATTTTAATAAGTCCCCAGCAAAAAAAAATGTATGAATTTAATCACGGTAACATTCGAGCTGGATTATCAAACCAGGAATCTTACTGTAAACTATTCATACCATGGAGGCTCGCCAAAATTAAAGATAGTCTCATTATCAGCCTCGTGATTATTTTCTGGATACAGGATTGTAGATTCTGAGTGACATGAAAAAACTGCACTTTCTTAACCAGTTGCAGTCATGCGGTGGACACTGTTCAAGAATATCAAATGCATTATGGGCAGGTCTTCATTTTCGAACAAGCTCTGACACTATCACGAATGACAAATTATGAGGGGGCAAATAACTGAGGAACTAAACGTTTAATGGGGCGAACTTGTGCTCAAAACAAAATAGAAGAAGCTTAGCGTTGCAGGCGTCGATGTCGGTGAAGCAGCACGGTCAAACGCTGGGACGAGACTAACTCAGGCTCGCCACGCGGAGCCTCTTATGTAGACGCGTGAGCTTCTGGAACAATCGGCGTAGAACATTCTAACCTCAAATAAGCAACAGATTTCTCAAATTTACCAGAATGCGACTTTACAGAAACAACAAAAAGGTGTATCAGCAGCCAGGCATCAAACCTCGGTTTTTCGTGTGGGAGGCAAGCACGGTAACCATGAGGACACGGGAGCACTGCCAACTAGGCCAGCTGCACAAGCGGAAATATTTCCCAATTTTCAAAACCCGAATGGGTTTTATGGAACTCAGGTTAATCCCAATTTTCTTCTAAAAGCCCTCCTACCTGAAAAAGAATGGTGCGGTAAACACACCAGATGGCCAACCCCTTGATGGGTTTGTGTTAGTTTCGTAAGTGGCGTTAAAGTGCCAGGGCACAAGGCCTGTGCAGTACTTGAAAGCAAATGGCAGTGTAGCCTTGAAATAAGAGGCACTTGGAAGTGAGCGGCAGCACAGCACTCACTTGTGGCATGCGCCTCTCGCATTCACACAATTAAGGCTGAACCACATGCAAGTGATTTAGTGAGAGACGAGCGATGGAGATTTCCCATTGTCGCTCGTTACACCGTTTGGTTTTTGGATTTTTAGAAAACGTCGCTCGTCGCCTTGATCGCTTGCTCCCGTCGCTTTCATGCGGTTTGCCTCATTGCGCGAATGACCTAACAATAACGACAAGGGTTGCCATCGCTTGTCTCGTCGCTCGCTTTATGGTTGTTGGAGCTTGCGAAAATGTGAAGCGTGAACTTTATCAAGGGCTTTGTCCTTGCCGACTCTCTGACAGCTGGGAGAACTTTGGGTTCCAGTGAAATACGACCACATGATTTCTCACTTTGCTAAGGAACTGAGGAGGACAGCTGAGGAGGAAGTAGTTGGAAAATCAGTTCATGGTCTCTTCAAGAAAGTTGTTCGAAACATTTTGTTTTCTGTTTTCTTTCTAACCACTCAATGGCGTTTTTTTTTTCCCCCTACCTTCCCAATAAAGTATTGGTAGAGGACTAACAAATAAGCGCAACATATACAGCATTTTGTATAAAAATTCCGTGCCCCAGTCGAAAAAAAATTCTTTATACTCTTTGCAAGCAACACATCAACACAGACCCCACTTCTAAAGGTGCACGGCACGCAATACTTCCGAGTAGTTTCCGAGGACGAAAATTGAACGTGAATTCGGACACCCGCAGTGGAAGGAAACGGGGTGCAAATACTAACGCTAGCACGTAACGGGTACCTAGCAGTCACAAGTTCCGCAAAACACACCGCGACCCGATTTATAGAACTGAAGCCTTGTCCACCGATCCACGACATAAAGCTCCCTGATATACTTACCAAGCCCGTCTCCCCCTTCCCGCGCCTTCAGTGGGACGCTTGCCTCTGGGAGCATTCCTGCAATCCGACTGCTCACTCAGAGACAGGTCGGTTTCGGGACTTCTTTGGCAAAAGCTCGAGAGCCATCCAAATCGCAAAGCACGCACGTGTGCGACAAGGAGCCGCAGAGATTCACTTTCACGTTGCCTGCGCACACAAGAACACCTCATAAACGCTCCGAACAGAAAAGACAGAAAAAGTAAAATGAACGAACGAGGAAGTCATGAAAAGTTTAAACAAACTGAGGTTTAAACTTTCAGCGATGTTATGCACGTTACCCCAGATCCCTCTAGCGATTGGTGCGCGTGACATGTCACGTGGGAAATGGATGGTTGATTGTACTAGTGGGATTCCTTGCAGGCTTGCGCGCGCTCCGTCCGGTAGGTTTTATCAGATCAAAGGCTAGACGTGAATCCGTTTGGCTTTGTCCGGTAGGTCACGTGCTGGGCCGATAAGTGAGGAGGGTAAGGAGGAAAATGCAGAAGGAGACGAGGCGTCAAGGGAGCTTGGCTTGTGGAGGCTACACGGCTGACGTGATGCCCCTTCCTAGCCTTCTATCCTCCTTGCCTGGGACACTTTTTTTTCTCCAAGCACGGTCTTTGATGAAGTTTGTCACTCGCTTTGTTTTTGGATGGTAACGGCTATACCATTTGTAACGGGCGGCAGCTTGCGACCCCTAGCCTAACATTTCGTGATCCCTTCTATTTTAAAAATTTGTATAAATTTTTTTCTAACACAACCCTACCACCCTCCCTCTTTTAAAGCGTCACCAATGCTTATTTTTATCTGTATTTTTACCCCTCCCTAGATTTAAGGTGCACGGGACGAAGCCCCGTGCATCTTAAAATTGCATGTTCTATAGTTTCCCTCTCGCGTTTGCATATGTCGCATAAACTGTCTATATCCTGGATAGAACCCCCGTTCTAGCTTCAAACAGCAATGAGCTCCCCAATGAATTATCATACAACTGTTCCTTCTTTATTTCCTGTTTTTGTGTCCTGTCTATTGTTAAAGCTGATTTCGCCTGAATTCTCTGTTCCCACAATTTCCTCTCAGTTTCCTTCACTCCCTTTTCTACTGATATGCTCTTATCTGCCCCCTCTCGTTGAATGCATTTAAATCTCAGCTTGCGGGTTCGGTTTTTCCACTTAGTGTTAAGACTTTTCATATATAGATACTTGTACACTTTCACTGTCCACCTTGTATCCTCAATTTCAGCTAGACTTTGTTCAAATTATAATTTACAGATCGCTTCTCTACTCTCGAAAGATGCACAACCCATATCCCCCTGTACTCCCTCATTTGGTGTGTTCCCATGTGCCCCCCATGCCGACCTACCCACACTCCTTTGCTGTATCTCTAAACTTGCTTGGATTTACGACTTCATACACAATACCGCATTCCCAAATGACAGTCCTGGCACCATGACTCCCTTCCATACACCCCTAACGACTTCACATCTATTATAGTTCCAAAGTGCCCCGTGTTTCATGATAGCTGAATCTTGTTTCTTCTTTTAGAGCGTAGCTCTTAGGCGCCCGTATCCGGTTTGAGCTGTGTCAGCGCCGCCGTCAGCGTTGGCATAACTGCGCGGTGCATGATGAGTAAATTTTCCGCTAAATATAGCGGAAAATTTTCCCTGCTAAGTCTAGCAGAAAATATTTCCCGGTAAATTCAGCGGAAAATTTTCCCCCTCTAAATCTAGCAAAAAAATTTCCCCGCTAAATTTAGCGGAAAAAATTCCCCGCTAGATCTTGTGGAAAAATTTCTCCCTAACTGTAGCGGGAAATATTTCCCGCTAAATTTAGCGGAAAAAATTCCCCTAAATGGGAGGCGAGCAGGAGAGGAGGGGCATAGCCCCGTCTCCGTACCTTCCTCTCCTCCTCCTCAAGAGCTGCGCTCTAATTCGGCGTTACAGGAAGTTGTAAGCGGCTTTTATTTTTTTTATTCCAATATCTTCATGTTCTTTTAGATACTTTCTTCCCTCACTTAACTCCCAGAAATTTGTACTTTTATACGTGTTCTATCACTGTGTCCTGTTTCTCCGGGTGGTTATCATTTGAGCCCGTTCTCGTTTCGCCCTTCTCACTTGGCCCTTCTCAAAGCAATCATAGTCAAAAAGATCTTCTCTCTTGAACCTGGCGCAATTGTTCCTTTCCCGTTTCGTCCTTCGCATTTCAACCCTTCTCATTTGAGTCCGTTCTCGTTTCGACCTTCTCACTTGGCCCTTCTCAAAACAAACATTCTCAAAAAGATCTTCTCGCTTTGACCCTTCGCATTTGGCCCTTTCCCGTTTCGTCTTTCGCATTCCAACCCTCCCCATTTGGGCCCGTTTTCGTTTCGCTCTTCTCACCTGGCCCTTTTTAAAACAGCCATTCTCAAAAATATCTCGCTTTGACCAGTCGCACTTCACTCTTTCCATACCAAATTTTTTTTTTTTTTTTTCTTTTGGGGGGGGGGGGGGGGGTAATATTTATAAATACACTGATATATTTTGTGCGTGCGTATGTGTGTGCCACTCTACAGGCATACTCTCTCTGCTAAGGATTTTAGCGGTGCGTCGAGATCGTCGGGAAAAGTTTCTAGCAGACCAGCTATTTATTGCAGCCAGATCATATTTCGAAATGTCACGTTTTTTGGGGTCTCTCGACTTGGGACAATGCCACCACTTCTATAATGCAGTGGTTCTCAAAAGGGGGTCTGCAAAGGCATCCTAAAGGTCCGCGAAGCCCTGTCTCATCAGTCAAGCACGGCAATATTAGGTGTCCGCTTTCTTCACGTTGAGAAGAAACGTTCCAATTTTTGGGTGAGTACTCTCGTGTCAATTAGATAAGTCTACTTCGCACTAGTAATTAGTTATATTCATTAATCAAATCATTATCATGAAAGCCTATACCTTTCTATTCCCCTCACCCTGAATGGGGTCCTCCATCATCTCCACTTGTCTACAAGGGGTCCGCGAAACATCAATGGTTGAGAACCGCTGCTATTATGTATGCTATTTCTGTTCAAACAAAATTTTCAAATTGAATGTTCATCGCTTTTCTTTTTTTGCTTAGAAGAAAGGAAGCAGGCGTCATTGTACGATTCTCAGTGCATACCTCTACACATAAAATATATCTGATGGTATGTTGGGGGCCCAAGCAAGGTAAGGCTCATCAACATAGCCGCGAAGGCATAACAACGTTAGAAGCATGCCGAACTAATGCCACTCGGTCGTAGCGCGAACGGGCGAAATGAGAATGTTGCGAAAATCACAATTTGGATCTTATGAGAAAGTTCAAACAAGGCGGACCAAATGAGAATGGGACGAAAAACGCACAATCAAAATGCGAACGGGATGTTTTCGGATAACGGACAAAATGAGAATGGGCCCAGTTGCGAAAAACACGATTCGGATCTTATGAGAAGGTTCAAACGAGAAGGACCAAATGAGAATGGGACGAAATATGCAAGGTTCAAATGTGAATGGGACATTTTGAGATACACCCGTTTCTCCAGGGGTTCCCCCTTCTCATCGTTGAAAACTATTTTAACCGACTTGTCCCTAGTGAATCTTAGTCCCAAACTGTCCCCTTCTCTGCTGCAAATCCTAATCAGTTCCTGTACTGTCTCACGACTTTCTGATACGAGTACAATGTTGTCTGCATACATTTAACGTCAAATTGTGGTTGTTGTTCTGCCCATACATGTGAACGTGTATATAGTCCAAGGCCGGTAAGTTCATTGAATAATAAGTAATGGTACTGTTTTTTATTTCAACCCTAAGAGAGGGGGCTAGAGAATAAGAATAAGCTCTACGATCAAGCTCGACAAGACCCCACCCCCCCCACACACACACCACTTGGCAATGCAGACATCTCAAGAGGAGCTCCAACAAAACCCACGACTCAAAAAACAAAAACAAATAATGAGGTAAAAAAAAAAAACAAAAAAAGTTGCTGTGGTATTAATTGATAAATGAAAAATTAAGAAAAAAAATCCAGATTGCCCTGAGGTGCTCGTGGCGATCTCTCGTTCATTAACACGCAGGGAAAGCAGAAAGCAAACCACTAACGTTGTTGTGAAGAAACCGGCAGAGAAAAGGATGTGGCAAATGTGTTCATGGCTTTATTTGTCGCTGCCTGAAATCGCTGTGCATGCTAAGATACTTATGCCTTGCCCGGTTTGCTGTTCCTTCTACAATTCCCGACAACTTCACTAAATGTCAGCGCGTTAGACTACACTCGCAATCGAACAGCATGTCTCACATTTTCAGAGCCTGTCAAAGGTTTTCTCTTTTTTTTTAGTACAGAGTAAACAAGAAGAAGAAAAAAAAAAAAAAAAAACACTACTTCGCAAAGGATATTTTAAGGTGCAACGCCGGCGAGCGTTTGCAAACTGGTCGATTTAAGTTCTGTGAGGAATAAACCCTTGGAAACGTCAAATGCGGGATCCGAAACGTTTCCAGCGGGCCTCGAGAGATTAGCGACAATATAAAAACAATCCAAAAGCTATTTTACAAAGGTTACACTCGGATCTGACTAACCTAGCTGCTTTCCGAATGATGCTCCTTGATCCGGCGAATAATGCAGGAAGGGAGCAGCAGCACGTCGTAAAAGAAATGGGATTGATTTCAGAGCTCACGTTAGAAACGATGAACCAACGGACACAAGTTTTTGAGAAACGGCCACACGGCTCTGGCAAAACAAACGTTGCCGCCATTGCCGCCTGGGAGCCTGGGATTTCTAATTGATTTCCGGTACGATTTCCGGTTCTCTTGCCCTGCCATCTGATGAGAGCGAGAAAAGGTTCGAGAAATGTAACGATAAATGTTTCACCAAGAATTTACATGCAACGAAATACGAAAACCGTTAAAAAAAGTTAACGTTATTAAGTTTTCCGCGGCGCAGTATCACGTACGTTCTGTTGGTTGATGAAAAAAAAGTGGCGGCAAGCGCGGGAAGTTTAGCAGACGACAGTTGAGCGTCACTTGGGAATCCCGCCCTGCGACCGCCACTCGACTGCGCCCTCACGAAAATGTCTTCCGAAGACCTGCCTCGTTTCAGCCTCATCCGAAAATACTTCTCGGATGAAGAATGGAACACCATGTCATTCTACGTGAAATCAAGGATGACAAATCTCAAGGAAAACTACGATCTTCTCCTAGGAATGGGTGAGCGTTGGCAGCTGAGCCTCTGAAAAAAGCGCGTCTGCGAATTCGGGGAAAGGGATGGCTGCGAAGAATAATTTGTGACATAAAAGTATTTATTAGTATTCGATATGTTACATTAGGATACCAGGCGTGAACACCGGGTCCCCGGTATATTGTAGCCTCAGCACCGAGGTCCGCTGTGAAATGCAGATACTCGGCAGTGACAACGGCAAACCCTAACGGCAAACTCTCGTGAGGTTAAGTCTGTGCTTATGCGAAGAGCAAGTCGCTTCTTCGGCAGCAGTTGCGGCGACCTCAGAACGACGCCTAGCTCTGATTGGCTCTCAATGAAGGATAGTGGGTAGACCTCGAGGCAGCTTGCTTTGAGGTCTACCCACTGTCCTTCAATCGGAGCCAATCAGAGCTCGGCGTTTTTCTGACGTCACCACAACCCCTGCAAAAGAAGCAGACGAACTTGCGATCCGCACTGTTTCTTCACCCGACAACCAAATATTGCAGGCACTACAAAGTGCCCCCCCCCCCCCCCTCTTTCCAATAGCCCCTCAAAATTATAGACATTTAATATACAAATTTTGTTTTGTTTTTTCTTAACAGAAAAACGAACTACGCCTCGACGAGCGTTCGTTCTCCACCCAAATATAGCGCTAGTGGTCTGAACCAGACGACAAAGTTTAAGAACTCTCCCCGTTATCTTATTCAAAAGTTAATAGTGATTTTCTGAAATTTACAGCGGGAAAATGGCTGCCGGTGGAGCTCTCGAACACATGGAGCTGAATGGCGTCAGTTACCGAAAATGGGCGCCATTTTCCAATCGAAATTATCAGAAAATCACTTATAGCGTTTGAACGAGATGATTAATTCTCAAACTTGGGTATCTGATTAGAACCTCTCGCGCTACATTTGGACGAAAAAAATTTTTTTTTGCTGGAAAAAAAGAAGGGGGTGGGGGTTGCGTCATCTTTCAGGCAGCGTGGCTTTAGGCAGTCGGCCTTTTGTAGCAGGAAAAATATTCATGATTTGGAGCAGCCACTGACGCTTTTGGAGCAGATGCCAACATCTGTTAGCACATCACTTGAAAAAAGAAAACGCGACTCCATCGCTAAATGCGTTTATCTTTGATAATGATTGAGGGTTCCTCTTTGATGCTGAAGCATATTACCTACCTTTTTCTAATAAGAATAGGTAGGGCACAAAAGGAATTCACAGGGCCTTTTCTTAAGAATAAGGCGGAGGTCACAGTAAGTTTCATTTACAATGAGTATTAAAAACAGGATTTAAAAATGAATCATAGTGCAACATTTTATCGGGATAAAGACTCTTCCTTTCTCTTTTACGGGTAGTTACTATGCCTATATACATAATTTGTGCAAAATTCCGGCAAATACCAGCCTATCTGCTATCAGGAATGATGTGTAATATATCATAAACTGAAGAAACAACCATCTACAACTACTATGAAAACCTACACTCGTGCATTAACACTGACAATGCTCTTTGGCGACGTTGGAGCCAGAGTCAAGTCAAAGTTTGCCGCTATTTCGTTAGACAGGAACTACATTGACTACCGTATCTATTGAAATATACATTGGTGTTTCTTAAATTTTATCGGCAAATATTTTTATAATGAGGGGTTTACCGAGATTTAAGACAAAAAAGGTGGACCTGTAAAACTAGCGAACATAAGTTCAGAGCCTGTCACGACAAACCAGGCGCTCCCCCGTGTCAGCCGCTGCTCCTAGCACTCCGGTGCAAACCGGCGAAGACCGACGCAGGCGCTGGTGAGAGGCGCTGAAGGTTGACGGAAGCTGCCCAAGGTGCCGTGGTGCACTGGAACCACGGCACAGAGCTATGTGCCACACATGATAACTAAAGGGGCGACGCAACGATCTATGTACCGCTTAGAACGTATACCTCACGTTAATGACCTATGAGACGCATTCGATTCTCACCCCGTGCAACTGAAGTCGCAGAAAAAAAAATAATTAAAAGAAAAACGAGCACGTTTGCCTATGCAACTCGCAGCCAGAACAAGCGGCCTACGTGATCTGGAACCGATTATATGCCGCTAGTGTTGATCACAGCCACGCGCTGGGGTTGGCGAAGCACAGGACACGCACTGAGTTCCAGACGTTGTTGTAATTCGTCTATCGTCGTCATTGCAGCGATTGGACACGGGGCAATACCCGAATGCTTGTAGAATCAGCTGTTGAATATCACGAGCCCAAATTGAGTGCTCCCTCAATGCATGAGTCCAATCTATGAGCCACATTGAAATGCCAACACTGGAGGGTACTGCGACACGTCAGCTGCGTCGTCAAGTTTTCCGAAGGAGATATTGAGAGAAAACGCTCGCATTTGTCCTTGAAAATACACCGCAACAAAGGAGTTTCTTGGTCATTCGTTGCGTGTGAGTATACAGCTGTGACCCACTAGTGCCAGTAAGCTCGTGTAAAGTGAAAATTATTACAAGCGAATGTCTCTGCACAGCCCCTTCAAGTGGTCTAGCCAGGAGTGCAGGAACCTGGTTCTGGCTGATCACAGTAGCCGCCATCGCACTTTTTTTTTTCGCGACTTTTAGCTTTTGACATTGCCGACATCGTCTGGAAATTTAGACGCTATCGGCGATCAACCGTCCAGCGCATCAACCGGCCAGCACAGTTCACGAGCAACCTTTATACTTCGTTTCGTCTTAAAACGCAAGCCGACGCTACGAACCAAGCGGACACATCAAACAGCATCAAAGCGCGACATCGTGGTATTCGTCTGCACACGTTTTTTCATGGGTAATACCAATAAAGTGCAGTGCGTGGTAAGCAACATAATTAAAACAGGAGACACGGAAACAGGAAGGAGACACACACCACCGTCTTGCTATTCACCAGTGAGTGTCCCATGACTAGCGCTTTTAGTATGTGCGGTTGTATGTGGTCGAGTTTTCGAACTCTGCTGTGACCTAAGATGAGACAAATATGCGGTAAGTAGAGACGCTGTAACATACATATACGATATGGATTTTTTTCAGAGCGCAGCTCTTAGGCGCCCATTTCCGACTTGAGTGGCGTCGCCGTCGGCGTAACCGCGCGTTGCGTCATGGGAAATGTCCCACAATGCACCGCGCAAGACCCTCGGGACGTCGAGTAAAGTCACGAGGGTCCCGCGCGGTGCATCATGGGACATTTCCCGTGATGCAACGCGCGGGGGGGGGGAGGAGGGGGAGGATGACGAAGGGGAGTGGAGGTGGAGGAGGAGGGCAGAGAAGGGATGATGGGAGGAGGAGGGATGAGAAGAAGGAGAGGGGGAGGAGGATGAGATAAGGGGAGGAGCTTGAAGGATGTTAGGAGGAGGACGAACAAGAGGAGGGGAGGAGGAGTAGCAGGGAGGATGAGGAGGAAAGGTATATACCCTTTCCTCAGTACCCTTTCCTCCTCTTCCTCAAGAGCTGCGCTCTAATTCGGTGTTAAGCGCGAGACACATGGACGGCACAATCTTCCGACCCGACAGTCCCTACGCCGCTCCGAATTGTCGCACGCAACAGTTTGAGACACGTGCTTTCGACCTTGAATACGACGCGACGATCCTTTCGGCTCCGCCCAGGAAATCTCTGGTCCCAGATTGACGGTTAGCTCGCACGAGTGAAATTACGAGCTCGTTCTCGCTAGTGCGTGCATTCTTTGCTGCGGTCATCTTTCTCGGATGGGTCAGCGGGATTCACGCGTCGGGCTTCCCCTCGCCCGTCCTGCTATCGTGTTCGTCCCGCCAAACCCAGTACGTCATCATGACGTTCGCGCTAGCTGCGCTGCCATTGGCTGGGCGCTTCCGACACTCCGTCCGCCGTGCGAAACTATCTGGCATGCTGGACGCACGCCGGATCGCCGATCCGACGTCTGAAGCGACCAAACTTTTCGGATCAGGCAGTCGTATTGCTGGATTGGACGTCCGATCGGATGGATTTTTATCGCGTATGTGTCTCGCGCTTTACAGGGTGTTGAAAACGTCTTTCATTTTTAATGCTTATGAAATGTTTAGAAAGAAGCCGTGAAAACTACACTTATGCGGTTTGTGCAGGTGAGTAATAAGGCCTGGAGGACATAGTTTATGGGGCTAACCGTAACAATCTTTGATTAATTAAGTAAAATTTGGTCATAAATTTTTAATTAGAGAAACTATTCATATGGTTTCAATTAGAAAGTTGCTGAACGTCATCGAAACCAACTAAATCACTAATTAAAAAAATGAAAGCCGTTTACACATTCCTGTACCGCCGGATTAGAGCGCAGCTCTTGAGGAGGAGGAGGAGGAGGAGGGTACTGATGATAAGGTATATCCTTCTTCCCTCGTCCTCACCTCCTCAACCTGTCTGCTGCTCCACCCTCCGAGCGGCGTCGCCGTCGTCTCACGAGGGTCGCGTGACCTCAAGGGGTTACGTGACCCCTATGAGGTCACGTGACGATGCCGATGCCGATGATGTCGTCAGTGACGTCACTGATGACGTCATCAGGGACGATGACGATGCGGATGCCGTCATCAGTGACGTCACTGATGATGTCATCAGAACGATGACGATGCAGATCACGATGGCGTCATCAGTGGCGTCACTGATGACGTCACCAGTGACGTCACGCGTCCCATAATGCACCGCGCGGTTACGCTGACGCTGCTCAAGCCGGAAACGGGAGCTTAAGAGCTGCGCTCTAGAAAAAAGACTGAGTGAGTGAGAAGCGTGCGCTAAAGCTACCAGTCGTGCAGCAGAGCGAGGCTACCTGTGCGATAAGGCACCCTCGCGATTTTTCCGTCTCTTACCATAAAGCCCTAGCCTTGTACCTGCTACACGAGCGGTAACTTTAGAGCACTACTGAGCTTCTCACACGTTCGAGGTCTTTCTACAAATTACTGATGTCGTAGCTTTCAATGACGCTCAGCAAGTTTCCAATTGGAACCATATGTCCATGTTCACCAATGAAAAAGTCAACACATTTCGCTCAATCAGCCGACTGATCGTTACTATTAGCCTCCTTATGCCCACTGTCTGTAAAACTCACCTGCGCAAATTGCGTAATTGTTGTATTCACGTTTTTGTTTCTTTTTTTTAACAAATCTGTTAAGGTTGAAAAAAATAAAATGAAAGGCATAAAGAGCCTGCCTAGCTTTTTGTATACCCGAGACTGAAAAAAAGATTGGGCTTGTGTGCCGTCCACTTTTTGTTCCAAGTCTTAGGTGTTCGCCATGTGTAAAGTTCACCAGCTCGCCTGTATCTCCTTTGTTATTCCTACATATATATTTGTACCACTTACCTTTCCTCTCGCGTCTTTGAATATCGTGGCCCACCAATAATAATATATTCTTATCTTTTGCATTTCCCACCTCAGCGCAAGTGCGGCGCAAGTCTTAGCAAAAATGTCATTGCGGCGCTAAATCTAGCAGACTTCCTCTCATCGCCCAATTTGGCCCAAATGACGCAGCACTTTCCTCACAGAAAATGTGTTTGTATCAAATGTCTGGGCTCCATGAAACTGGCAACAAAGGATTGCCGAGTTCAGTCGCTGCCTTAGATTCCCCTTGCACTCGAAGAAGCGATGGCAGTGTGATGAACTTGAATGAGGTTCTTCCACAGGCTGCACTCCACCGGTGCCCGACTTCATCAAGCCGAAGCCCTCTTCAAGACCTGGATTGGCAGGGACGAAGCGTAAGTTCGAAAAACGGGAAATGTCAGGCAGAACGAGAAGTCCAGAACGGGTCGAAAAACTCACACAACACACTGCTGTATCAGAGAAAAAAAAAAGAAAAAAAAAAAAAGGCGTACATAATTTCTTGGATATATACACATTTCAAGCATCCACGAAAAATAATTTCAACAAGCTTGTCGCTTTGAAGTCCCGACTAAGTATTTTCCTTACTAACAAAAAGGGTTTCGTGTTTTCGGAGTTTATTCTAAAACCCGGATCGTTTTTTTTTTTTTTGTTTTTCGGAATTCATTTTTTGCCATAAAATCGCGGTTTTTCGAAATTTACGTTTTCCATATCTCCAATTCTCCGAAATTCGAAATTCTATATTGCTGTACTCCCAATTTTCTCAAATTCGTCATTAAAAATAGGTAATATCCGGACAACAATGTACGCACAATTTATAAAAACTCGACCGCATCGAACGATATTTCTTAAGCTTAGATATCGTTAGTGCTCTTTACGTTGAGACTACTAACTGTTCCACGACAAAACTTGGACACACGTGTTGCCTGAAGAAAGGTTTAAAGTCACAAAACTCTCGGACGTGGTCGGAAGCATAGAAACTTCACTTGTCACCTTCTCCTCCCATAGAATATAGAGGTTCATAGCTTTTACTGTTATTGTCCTGAACGAACCCTGACGACATAAAAGGTAAACCACCTTTGGTCAGCAGTCTGAGATTTAAAAGAAAACTGAAATGGCCTCGGGACCACTTACCCTGTACTCCCTCCTACCAAGATTTTTTTTTTTTTTTTTTGAAATACCATCCTTTCTTTTTTCTTTTTTTTTATTTGTCGTCAGGATCCTACATAACAAATTTTCGGATAAATCCGCATTAACGAAAATTCTACCGGCTAGTGTTTTTTTTTTCTTTCCCCATTTTTTCGGATATATTTGAAAACACCGAACCTTATATTTATAACTTATAAATGAGATACGCGGATGAACAATATACAAGTCATAAGAAATACAAAAAAAGAAAAAAAGGGGAGCAAACGCATCTTTTCTCTCTTTTTTCTTAAACGAGTTCCACGTATCTCGCTTCTCTTTTGTAAACGCCGAAGATTTCAGCGTCATCGGCATAATCAGACGAAATGTGTTCGATTCGTCTTACAGAGGCCTCGACCAGTGCCGCCGCAGGATCATCCGGGAAAGAGAACAGGCCCCCCAAGGTTGGTGTCATGACGTCACCGAATGGAGGCCAAGGCAGGGCAGGGGTATCGGACGGAAGGGCTGCCTTAGCGTTCGACCGAAGCTGTGCCGCGTTGGCCTCATTTCGATGACGCGGAAACTTTAGAATCACGGCCTTGCGCCACGGCGGCTCCGTGTGACGTAGTTTAATGTCCGCTTTGGCGACACGTTTTCTGTATCAGTCAGTTGGGTGAATGGGTGGACGATTGTGGCTGAAACCTTTTAATCGAGGGGCGGATGATAAGCCACCTAGACAAAGCTTTTATTTCAACAATAAACTCACGACCACGGTGCCACAGGAGCGGAGCAAAAACGGGACGGACAAATGAAAGCTTCAGCTTTGTGTTGTCCGTCCCGCTTTTCCCCCGCTTATGGGTTAGCGTGTCAGTATTCAATTAGCTGGCCTGCACACCTGCTGAAGTTTCAATTATCCAATGTCGCATATAACAAAAAACAAATAAAAAAACAGTGAGGCTACACTTTTAAACCGCATACTTCTACATTCTGAAGTAATGGAGCGTGGTAAGAAGCCCATATCGCTTCGCTACATGCATTTAGCATTCGGTCGTAGGTGCACTGCACTGATCGAGCAAAATCCATGACTATGACGTCAGTTGACGTCATGCCCGACGTCACGTGCTCCGCCCTTTCAGAGCGCCGTGGCGGGAGCAGCGACGCCCCTGCAGCGAGGAAGTTCCCGCCTGGCTTCGAGGTCCGGCGTGAAGCCGCTCTCCGCTGCGCAGGAGAAGCGGGAGGAGGAATACGGTACGGGGACCCGTTTACTGCTTGACGCGGGAGTATTCACTATGAATGTCGTCACCGTTATTGTCATCGCTTCTTCGTCAATGACGGGAAGTGTCAATTTCCCTGAATGTTAAATTGCCATCATTACAAGATTTGAGGAAACCAACCTGACGAGGACTAGCAAAGTGGAAGCCATGGGAGAGCGCTGTGTGTATTTTTAGGCAGCGTAAAGTTAGTCGGCCCCAATGTGCAACTCGTATGTCCGCTGTAGGTGACAAATTTACCGAGTTCGATAGCACTGCTCGGTCGGGATCCTTGACGCGTGCATCGGGCCTTAGTGATAGACGACCGCCTGCAGGACCGATGCTCATCCAGATCAAAACGGGCAGGGGTGGGCATATAAACCCGGAATTCACGGGTTATGCGGCGTGCATGAATTATTGTTCGATGCGGAACCTCTTTTCGGGCACGAGTCATATCGGAATTCAGAAATTCGGGAGGGGGAGGGGGAGGCGGACCGCCCCGAGTGCCGCTGACCATAGTGACGCCACTGGACCCAAGGCATCAGGGCATCGGATGAACGGTTCATTTGGTAAGGGGTGACTTTTCTTCGTCCGGTGACGTGCGCAGATCCCGGAGAGGGCACCTCGAGCCAGACGCGGTACCCGAAGCGGAGCCGCAAGTCCGTCAACTACGCCGAGTGCGAAGTTCCCTCCGAGGACGAGTTCTTCTGTGAGTGTCCAGAAGTCGGAAACTACTCGGACAAGAGACCTTCTCCCTTCCCTCAGTGACACCCCATGCTAACTTCAAAAGCTTAATTAATTATAATGGGGCTACAGAAGTGGGTTGTTCACTGTTGTCCGTTGTGCAGACTGCCTGGAGTGCGGCGAAGACCGGCACGGCGACTGTCCCGTCCACGGACCCCTCGAGTTCGTCAAGGACACACCGGTGAGAAATTTACACGACCTCCTCGTTGTCTGGCGCGCATCGGGGAGGCATTGTGGGCTTTTGAAATGGCAGGAGAGCGGGGAAGCTGGGAAGAGACGGTGGAAGCCATCTGTGTTGGGACAAGAGGGACTTCATGGCGTGATCGAGTTTTCACTTTCGGGTCCGGGCGTTACCTGTGTACGTCGATAACCTCCCTTGAATTCCGCGTGCTACCCGGGAAAGTATACACGCGGGTTTCGGTTGCTCCAGCACCAGACTGGACATCCAATGATAAGAATCTGCGAACTCTGGTGTACTATACTATTAAGTCGTTATCCAGAGTGTACATTGGAGACAATACACTTCAAGAATCGAGCGTCTATATTTTAGTGATTACATTGGAGGATATCCAGAAAACCCTCGATGGAAACCATAAAAAAGTCTAATTATCTGCTACCATAATATTCTGTCAGTGTCATTGAAGTGAACCATACCAAAAGTGGTATTCCCGCCTGCAAGTCTCCTAGTTTTAGCGTAGCTGGATGTGTCAGGAAGTATCCGATCCTCGAGCGTCCTATACATATCACGGGTTTGCAATCACAGCCCGAAATGCTTACAGATTTAGTTTTAGTACATATTTTCTGTTAGATTTACAAAATCACAACTGAAACCGAAGTTTTGTCGCCCCGTTCGAAAATAAGTAATAGTACAAACAAATACACGTTCGTTTTTGTCATCCTCGCTGATAAAGTCCTTAAAGACGTGAGCTCTGTTTATATATTCGTTACAACGTCATATCCGTCCCCTCTGATTAATTCAGGTTCCCCCGGGGGACCCCCAGCGCGCGAACAAGACCCTGCCCGAGGGTCTAACGCTGGCCCGGTCCTGCATCAAGGGGGCCGGGAAGGGGGTCTTCACCCTCAGGCCCCACCCTGCCAGGCTGTGCTACGGGCCCTACGAAGGCGTGCGCTTCACCGGCTCCGGCGGGGGCAACGGATACACCTGGAAGGTGCAGTGCTCCCTGTGGGCTGCGTGAGCATGCGTAAACTCGAAGGGTCTGAACCTGAAAGGGAGGATGGAATTGTCGGGGTACACACTATGGAATACCATACACACTTATGGGTGTAGCTGGTCTCAAGGATAACATCCTAAGGGTGTTACAGGAACAAGTTTAGAGCGCTAGAGAACACGCTAATACTTTGTGCTCTGGCGGTGCGGCAACCTAAAAATACTTTTTTACTAGCAACAAGGTACAAGCAGCACGCATCACCTTCAGGTTGCACTCGCACAGATAGCACGAAAAGCCGACAATTCAGAGATACCCATTCCCAGATGAGCGCATCCAAAATTACGGAACTTACAAGTATGTTTTTTTGTTCTCGTCAGTACCTCAGTTATAGCATAAGAACTCGAAGTTCAAGAAATGTATCTCCAAGTAAACACTAAATCAATGATAATCTGATTTAGTTGCCAAAACAATCTCCTAGAAATGTTTGAGGCGGGTGCAAAACTGATGCGTCACCGCGTGCACGTGCCCGGATCCAGGTGCGTGGCCGGGGCGGCTACCTTGTGGACGCCCGGCCCCTGTCGGAGTCCAACTGGATGCGCTACGTCAACTGCGCCCCGAGCGAGAAGAGCCAGAACCTCGTGGCTTTCCAGCACAGGGGAGGCGTCTACTACCAGACAAAGGCCAAGATAGCGCCGGGGACCGAGCTGCTCGTCTGGTACGGGGACGAGTTTGGCGCCGAGCTAGGACTCGTCGAAGCCAAGGACGGAGCCCAGAAGAAGCGTGAGTGGGGGACATCGGATGGGCAAGGATACGCTGAGTTTCGAAGTTTGTCATTGCGATAAAAATTGTCAGGAGTGCACTATTTGTTGTAAAATCACAATGCATAAAAATAAAAAAAAAGTATTTTTTTTTTTTTTTTTTTTTAAATTGGGATTTGAAGGTACGGTACTCTCCTGAGATATAGTCCACCTAGAATAGATAAAAAATTGTATGAAAATGAGGAGTGGTCTACCTGTCGGTGTGCAGTCCATAAAAGTTGAAAACAAAAATGCTATTTTTAGATAATGTGTCTATCAGACATGTTATCCCGGCGAGGGGGCAATGAAACAGAGATGACTGTACTTCCCAGTCAGAAATGTTCGCTTTTATATCCTGCCCTAGCTAACCGAGGCATTTACGCCAAGGGCATCATTGATCCGAAGGCTACGATTAGTAAGCGTGGGCTATCTTTCGGTGTTTTAAAGGGGAGGGGGGGTGCAGCGATTTCCGGACTTCGGTCAAACACTTGTGCAAGTTGCCCTCTGACAATCCTAAAATAAAGAACAGAAAACCAATTTCGACTGCGTGTCAATAGTTGTTATGTAAAAATAAAAAAAAAAGTTTTTTTTTTAAATTGGGATTTGAAGGTACGGTACTCTCCTGAGATATAGTCCACCTAGAATAGATAAAAAATTGTATGAAAATGAGGAGTGGTCTACCTGTCGGTGTGCAGTCCATAAAAGTTGAAAACACAAATGCTATTTTTAGATAATGTGTCTATCAGATATGTTATCCCGGCGAGGGAGCAATGAAACAAAGATGACTGTACTTCCCAGTCAAAAATGTTCGCTTTTATATCCTGCCCTAGCTAACCGAGGCATTTACGCCAAGGGCATCATTGATCCGAAGGCTACGATTAGTAAGCGTGGGCTATCTTTCGGTGTTTTAAAGGGGAGGGGGGGTGCAGCGATTTCCGGACTTCGGTCAAACACTTGTGCAAGTTGCCCTCTGACAATCCTAAAATAAAGAACAGAAAACCAATTTCGACTGCGTGTCAATAGTTGTTATGTAAAAATAAAAAAAAAAGTTTTTTTTTTAAATTGGGATTTGAAGGTACGGTACTCTCCTGAGATATAGTCCACCTAGAATAGATAAAAAATTGTATGAAAATGAGGAGTGGTCTACCTGTCGGTGTGCAGTCCATAAAAGTTGAAAACACAAATGCTATTTTTAGATAATGTGTCTATCAGATATGTTATCCCGGCGAGGGAGCAATGAAACAAAGATGACTGTACTTCCCAGTCAAAAATGTTCGCTTTTATATCCCGCCCTAGCTAACCGAGGCATTTACGCCAAGGGCATCATTGATCCGAAGGCTACGATTAGTAAGCGTGGGCTATCTTTCGGTGTTTTAAAGGGGAGGGGGGGTGCAGCGATTTCCGGACTTCGGTCAAACACTTGTGCAAGTTGCCCTCTGACAATCCTAAAATAAAGAACAGAAAACCAATTTCGACTGCGTGTCAATAGTTGTTATGTAAAAATAAAAAAAAAAGTTTTTTTTTTAAATAGGGATTTGAAGGTACGGTACTCTCCTGAGATCTAGTCCACCTAGAATAGATAAAAAATTGTATGAAAATGAGGAGTGGTCTACCTGTCGGTGTGCAGTCCATAAAAGTTGAAAACAAAAATGCTATTTTTAGATAATGTGTCTATCAGACATGTTATCCCGGCGAGGGGGCAATGAAACAGAGATGACTGTACTTCCCAGTCAGAAATGTTCGCTTTTATATCCTGCCCTAGCTAACCGAGGCATTTACGCCAAGGGCATCATTGATCCGAAGGCTACGATTAGTAAGCGTGGGCTATCTTTCGGTGTTTTAAAGGGGAGGGGGGGTGCAGCGATTTCCGGACTTCGGTCAAACACTTGTGCAAGTTGCCCTCTGACAATCCTAAAATAAAGAACAGAAAACCAATTTCGACTGCGTGTCAATAGTTGTTATGTAAAAATAAAAAAAAAAGTTTTTTTTTTAAATAGGGATTTGAAGGTACGGTACTCTCCTGAGATCTAGTCCACCTAGAATAGATAAAAAATTGTATGAAAATGAGGAGTGGTCTACCTGTCGGTGTGCAGTCCATAAAAGTTGAAAACACAAATGCTATTTTTAGATAATGTGTCTATCAGACATGTTATCCCGGCGAGGGGGCAATGAAACAGAGATGACTGTACTTCCCAGTCAGAAATGTTCGCTTTTATATCCCGCCCTAGCTAACCGAGGCATTTACGCCAAGGGCATCATTGATCCGAAGGCTACGATTAGTAAGCGTGGGCTATCTTTCGGTGTTTTAAAGGTGAGGGGGGGTGCAGCGATTTCCGGACTTCGGTCAAACACTTGTGCAAGTTGCCCTCTGACAATCCTAAAATAAAGAACAGAAAACCAATTTTGACTGCGTGTCAATAGTTGTTATGTAAAAATAAAAAAAAAAAGTTTTTTTTTTAAATAGGGATTTGAAGGTACGGTACTCTCCTGAGATCTAGTCCACCTAGAATAGATAAAAAATTGTATGAAAATGAGGAGTGGTCTACCTGTCGGTGTGCAGTCCATAAAAGTTGAAAACACAAATGCTATTTTTAGATAATGTGTGTATCAAACATGTTATCCCGGCGAGGGGGCAATGAAACAGAGATGACTGTACTTCCCAGTCAGAAATGTTCGCTTTTATATCCTGCCCTAGCTAACCGAGGCATTTACGCCAAGGGCATCATTGATCCGAAGGCTACGATTAGTAAGCGTGGGCTATCTTTCGGTGTTTTAAAGGGGAGGGGGGGTGCAGCGATTTCCGGACTTCGGTCAAACACTTGTGCAAGTTGCCCTCTGACAATCCTAAAATAAAGAACAGAAAACCAATTTCGACTGCGTGTCAATAGTTGTTATGTAAAAATAAAAAAAAAAGTTTTTTTTTTTTAAATAGGGATTTGAAGGTACGGTACTCTCCTGAGATCAAGTCCACCTAGAATAGATAAAAAATTGTATGAAAATGAGGAGTGGTCTACCTGTCGGTGTGCAGTCCATAAAAGTTGAAAACAAAAATGCTATTTTTAGATATTGTGTCTATCAGACATGTTATCCCGGCGAGGGGGCAATGAAACAGAGATGACTGTACTTCCCAGTCAGAAATGTTCGCTTTTATATCCCGCCCTAGCTAACCGAGGCATTTACGCCAAGGGCATCATTGATCCGAACGCTACGATTAGTAAGCGTGGGCTATCTTTCGGTGTTTTAAAGGTGAGGGGGGGTGCAGCGATTTCCGGACTTCGGTCAAACACTTGTGCAAGTTGCCCTCTGACAATCCTAAAATAAAGAACAGAAAACCAATTTCGACTGCGTGTCAATAGTTGTTATGTAAAAATAAAAAAAAAAGTTTTTTTTTTTTAAATAGGGATTTGAAGGTACGGTACTCTCCTGAGATCTAGTCCACCTAGAATAGATAAAAAATTGTATGAAAATGAGGAGTGGTCTACCTGTCGGTGTGCAGTCCATAAAAGTTGAAAACAAAAATGCTATTTTTAGATATTGTGTCTATCAGACATGTTATCCCGGCGAGGGGGCAATGAAACAGAGATGACTGTACTTCCCAGTCAGAAATGTTCGCTTTTATATCCCGCCCTAGCTAACCGAGGCATTTACGCCAAGGGCATCATTGATCCGAAGGCTACGATTAGTAAGCGTGGGCTATCTTTCGGTGTTTTAAAGGGGAGGGGGGGTGCAGCGATTTCCGGACTTCGGTCAAACACTTGTGCAAGTTGCCCTCTGACAATCCTAAAATAAAGAACAGAAAACCAATTTCGACTGCGTGTCAATAGTTGTTATGTAAAAATAAAAAAAAAAGTTTTTTTTTTTTAAATAGGGATTTGAAGGTACGGTACTCTCCTGAGATCAAGTCCACCTAGAATAGATAAAAAATTGTATGAAAATGAGGAGTGGTCTACCTGTCGGTGTGCAGTCCATAAAAGTTGAAAACACAAATGCTATTTTTAGATATTGTGTCTATCAGACATGTTATCCCGGCGAGGGGGCAATGAAACAGAGATGACTGTACTTCCCAGTCAGAAATGTTCGCTTTTATATCCCGCCCTAGCTAACCGAGGCATTTACGCCAAGGGCATCATTGATCCGAACGCTACGATTAGTAAGCGTGGGCTATCTTTCGGTGTTTTAAAGGGGAGGGGGGGTGCAGCGATTTCCGGACTTCGGTCAAACACTTGTGCAAGTTGCCCTCTGACAATCCTAAAATAAAGAACAGAAAACCAATTTCGACTGCGTGTCAATAGTTGTTATGTAAAAATAAAAAAAAAAGTTTTTTTTTTTTAAATAGGGATTTGAAGGTACGGTACTCTCCTGAGATCTAGTCCACCTAGAATAGATAAAAAATTGTATGAAAATGAGGAGTGGTCTACCTGTCGGTGTGCAGTCCATAAAAGTTGAAAACAAAAATGCTATTTTTAGATATTGTGTCTATCAGACATGTTATCCCGGCGAGGGGGCAATGAAACAGAGATGACTGTACTTCCCAGTCAGAAATGTTCGCTTTTATATCCCGCCCTAGCTAACCGGGCGCATTTACGCCAAGGGCATCATTGATCCGAACGCTACGATTAGTAAGCGTGGGCTATCTTTCGGTGTTTTAAAGGGGGTTTTGGGGGGGTGCAGCGATTTCCGGACTTCGGTCAAACACTTGTGGAAGTTGCCCTCTGACAATCCTAAAGTAAAGAACAGAAAACCAATTTCGACTGCGTGTCAATAGTTGTTATGTAAAAAAAAAAATAAGAAAAAATCAGTATTTCCAATTTTGGCACCCCTCAACTCACTCCCAGTCTTCGGTCTCACCTGGTCCCCCTCCTTGTGACGTAATTCGGCGTGCAGTGTAGCTTCCCCTGTGCTCTTTCGGAGGACGCTTCCTCTCTCTCTCTCTCTGCTGACATTAGCGGGCGTTATGCTGCAGCTTAGAGCCAAGTGAGGTCATGTCATCTTTTCGCTGTAGTTCCTTCGGCTGCCCCTCGTTGCTGCAGGTGGGGGGAACAGCTCGACTTTTGCTTTGTGATCATGCAGCGGAATAGCGACATTTTTTAATGAAGGAGGTGTTTTCTGTGACCTCCGGGACATGATAAACAACGTAAAAATTACGAGATGCATATTCTTCATTTCTTAAAATCGTTGAACCCCCCCCCCCCCCTCCCCCTTTAGAAGAAAATAACAAATCCATCCGAAAATGGGGGGGCGGGTCACCTTTCGGGGGAGGGGTATCTCGGGATTTTACGGTAGTGTCTCCTAACTCTCTGCCCCCCTTGCCTTGCTCGTCCATGTGCAGACCAAGAAGAGGGGCCGTCCCTTGAGGGGCCAGTGCAGACCTTCGCGTGTGGGGACTGCGACAGCGTCTTCGCTTCCCTCGAGCACCTCCAGGGACACCGGAAGACGGTGCACGAGAGGAGAGGGGGCAGGCACCGATGCGGTCACTGTCCCTACTCCAGCGATAAGAAACCAGACCTAGTCAGGCACCAGCGCACCCACACGGGAGAGAGGCCCTTCAAGTGCGGCACCTGCGGCAAGGCTTTCACGCAGCAGGGCCACTTGACCACGCACCAGAATGTGCACACGGGCGAGCGGCCTCACGAGTGCGCCGAGTGCGGGCAGAAGTTCGCCCGGCTGGGACACCTGAGGATGCACGAAAAAACGCACAGCGGAGAGCGGCCCCACGTCTGCCCAGAGTGTGCGAGAGGATTCGTTAAGAGAGGTGACCTCGCAAGGCACAGGCGAACCCACTCCGGCGAGAAGCCCTATGCCTGCCACCTGTGCTCCTACAGGACCTCTGATTTAAGCCACTTGAAGAGGCACGTGATCCTGGTGCACTCGAAAGAGTATCCCCACAAGTGCGGGGACTGCGGCAGAGGGTTCCTGCTCCCATATGAACTCAGAAGCCACATGAGGAAGCAGCACTCCTCCGACGACCTGGAGCGGTAGATGGACTCCGTGATGGGGGAGGGGGGAGGGGCACCGGGTCCTAACGACACTGGGGAAACCCGAAGACAAGGGTGACACCGGCGAGTTCTTCTTTTGCTTTTTAATAAATACATTGTACATAGAATTGGCCTCGGCTTACTGTTCCCCACGAGCGTATCGTCCAAAAGGGTGACTTTCCCGAACCGTGGGTGTAAGGGTCGACGAAGGCTGTGCTGTGGGCCGTTAGGACGAGAGGGACTTGGATGGTCTACGAAAGCGTTGACGAACAGTTCCCGCGGTGGTGGGCGACTTCGAAAGTCGGCCGTATACTTTGCGATGCGAGGCTGAAAACGCGCGTTTTTAGCTGAGAGAACCGGAACGTGCGTTTCGGGCCGGGACGACTATCGGAGAGTGCGGTGGTTGGATGGGCAACGTTAGACCACGTCTGGCGGAATGATCGTCGGCGCTGTCCACATCAGGGACGGCGGTCTGACTCGCCTCGCGAGTTCTAAGAAAGGGTTTGCTCGCGTCCGAACCCGCCTGGCGTTTGGTCATGAGATATGCAAGGATAAAAATGCTGCGTCATTTGCGCCAGATTGCTCCATAAAGGGAAGTCTGCTACATCTTGCGCCAAAATGCCATTTTTGTTAACAATTGCGCCAAACCTGCCCCGAGAAAGGCTTAAAGAAAATATATATATATATATATATTGGTCGACCCTAATATTCAGAGAAGTAGAAGGAAAGAAATATTGTGCAAATACGAACTTCACAGCCTCTCTACTCGCAGTATAGTTTGTTTTGTCTTAGATCAGAATAAAGCCGAAGACTCGAACACATATAACCACAGACACGCACGCTAACAGCGCAAGCCACGCGACATTGATTGGTTTAGACGATGAAAGAACACGTACAAGGACATGGCGAATGCCAGGATGTCGCGCTTCGATGCTGCGAATCAACCGGCCAGAGACGCTGACGCTGGGCATCAAGCGCTCTGGCCGGTTGATGCGCAGGCGGGTTGATCGCCGCCATGGACTAAAGTTTCAGACGATGTTGTCGATGTCAGGAACTAAGAGTCCCCGAGAAACCTTTTGCATACTACATGAAGGGAAACCAGGGTCTTGCACTCCTGATAAGGTCGCTTGATTATACCGTGGGTACTTGCGGCTCTCACCTGCGTGCACCCGTGGAGCTTCACCGCTTTGCACCGGAGTGCTAGGAGCAGCGGGTGACACGGGGAAGCGCCTGGCTTAGCTCGATAGGCAGGCACATTATGGTCAGGGTGGTTACGGGGCGAACTTCTTTGTCCTCATTGTAAGTTCATCTCCAATTAAAGAAAACAGATAAAGAGAGAAGGGAACACGAGTCTATGTATATTTGAATCAATATGGTAGTCCCGATAGTTTCCGTGCAGCTGTCGATCGAAAGATCGGCGAACTTCGACGTGACTCTGGTTCCTACGCCGCTAAAAAAACTGTGTCGAGTTTAAAGCGCGAGTGTAGTCCTTTATAGTATTGTTGGTTGGCTGCTTTTGTAATTTATAATATTATATGCTTGAGTTTGGTAGGTCCATTAAACTTGCGGGACGCATCTTTATTGGTAGACGTGTCAGCGGATATGCTGGTTTTGCTGGCATTAAAAAATTATATTTACAGGCTAAACAAACTACCGAGTGTAAAATGAAGAGGGGAGAGAAGATTATTCCACTACGCTAGGATACACTTTTCAGCCATTTTTGAATACCCACTGTAAATGAAACCTTCTCTGACTAGAGCCTTATTTAAGACGACTGTGTTCCTTTAATGCTCTATGTATTATTTTTCTAGAAACAGTAATAACTCATATGCTCGAGTGTCAAACAGAAACCCTAGATCACTATCATAAATGAACTCAGCCAGAGATTCAATCAATTTTTCATTCTCAAGTGATGTGCTAACAGATCTTGGCATCTGCTCCAAAAGCGTCAGTGGCTGCTTCAAACCAATATTTCCCCCGCTACAGAACGTGCTACAAAAGGTCCAATTCCGATTTCATCACTTGTCATGCGCAGGTCGTGGGGTCTCAGGCGGGAAACTTCAGCAATTTCCCCACGGTGGGAAAGTGGGGCGATTGGTTGCGGCCTCTCGGCCACCGGGAAACGCCCGTCTCATGACCCGTCGGGGAATCGCCGGTCCACCAAAAGAGGGCGGGCCAACCAGTGATATTTAAGGGGAACGCAGCAAGTGGGAATCGTATTACGAACGAATAAACGGGTTTTATGTCGAATTCCACTGGGCGTTTTGGAGCGCGCCGGGATCAGTCGACCAGATCCGGATTGGAGCACAAGATCCGAACGGGGTCGCACCGCCTACGGATCCCCAGTGGAACATGACCACTGCTCCGGGATCGGCGGATGCCTTCCCGTCATTCAACTGCCCGGGAATCCCCTTTTCGCGGCCGCCGCGGTCGTTTCGAAGACGTTTTCGCAATCGCGGTGCTAACACGTGTTCGACGCACGAGTGGCAGGAATGGCTCAGGCGCTTCTAGCAAAGATTGCCGGAATGCCCGTAGCGCGGCAAATACCTTCTCTTCTCCTTCCTGGAAAACGAACCGGCTGTCGAGCCAATGGGTAAGCAAGCGACCATTACGAATTCTTCTGATGTCGAGACAATCTAGGAGCTTAGCCCGCCACGTGCTTCTTCTTCTGAGGCGAGATGCCCCACGAGAAAAGAAGTCACGTGTGTGCGCCGAGGGCTGGCCCGGCTGGCTTCCGGTTGAATCCGCCGAAATCGTGGGAGCGACTTTTCTCGTGGCGAATTCCACGGGTCGTTTTGGAGCGCGCCGGGATCGACTTTTCCGGAGCGAGCCTATTTCACTGGGCGATCGGGATCGAGACGAACGTGTTCCACTGATCGTTTTGGATTACCTCCCGCTCCAGATCTCGATCTGGATCCGAGAAAGTCGCTCCCCCGATTTTGGCGGATTCAACCGGAAGCCAGCCGGGTCAGCCCTTGGCGCACACACGTGACTTCCTTTCTCGCGGGCATCTCGCCTGATCTCGCCTCAGAAGAAATGGTAATGGCCGCTTGCTTACCCCTTGGCTCGACAGCCGGTTCGTTTTCCAAGAAGGAGAAGAGAAGAGAAGGGTTTTGCCGCGCTACGGGCATTCCGGCAATCTTTGCTAGACGCTCCTGAGCCATTCCTGCCGCTCGTGCGTCGAACACGTATTAGCGCCGCGATTGCGAAAACGTTGATACTTGGAACCAGCCGCTACCAGACACCTGATTTGTTTCAAAAATACCCGGGACGTTTTGGGGCAATGAATCGATCACATAGCAGGCGGTAGACAAGTAGACAGCGTTGAAAAATATTTAATCCACCGATTGTTATGAAGGCCGATGGCGTCGGTGTCGCAGTTTTGAAGCACTGTCAGTTCAACACCACGTTACAAAAGACGGTTTGGGGTACTGCCGGTGCTAACGCAATTTCACAGTAGAAATAGAAATTGCATGAAAGAACCGGACAGAAACACTCCATACGGTGGCGTAAATGCCGAACATATATCAGCGATGTCACTTTCCTCGGTTGAGGCTATCTGCTTTGTCAACGAATGATGAACATCTCGGTAAAATAAAGAGCGGAAAATACTCCCCGTGTCAAGTTTTCTAATTACAGCCACTGGTTGATGTCGTACCGTGGTAATTCCCGGCCCTTCGAACGCACTAGCACTTTGTAGAGTCACATTTTCAGCGATTCCGCGCCGCACACGAACGAAGGTAAACAATCAAGATGGCGGAGTGTTCCCCGTATTGTCCTCGCCGTCAGTGCGGTGTGATAGCGTTGTCGGATAACAAATCGGGCAACACTGTTGCGGGGCGGCAGCAATATGTTGCCCGACTGTTGTTGCCGCGATGTGACAGGGTCGCCGGCAACACGACTTCCCCGTGTTGCCGGATAGAGTTGTCCATCTGTCCCCTCAGTGTGACAGGGTCTTTACCCCTTGGCTAGACAGCCGGTTCGTTTTTTAGGAAGGACAAGAGAAGGTTTTGGGGGCCGCGCTACGGGCATTCCGGCAATCTTTGCTAGAAGCTCCTGAGCCATTCCTGCCGCTCGTGCGTCGAACACGTGTTAGTGCCGTGATTGCGAAAACGTGTTCGAAACGACCGCGGCGGCCGCCGAAAGGGAATTCCCCGGCAGTTGAATGACATGAAGGCAAATGCCGATCCCGGAGCAGTGGTCATGTTCCACGGGGGATCCATCGCCGGCGCGACCCCGTTCGGATTGTGAGCTCCATTCCGGATCTGGTGAACTGATCCCGGCGCGCTCCAAAACGCCCAGTGGAATTCGCCATCGGATCCAGATCGAGATCTGGAGCGGGAGCTAATCCAAAACGACCAGTGAAACATGTCGGTCTCAATCCCGATCGCCCAGTGAAATAGGCTCGCTCCAGAAAAGTCGATCCCGGCGCGCTCCAAAACGACCAGTGGAATTCGCCATTAGTTTGTGCTGGAGCTCGAGAGCTCACGCTCCCTAATCGAACCCTGTCAAGGGACTCCGGGGTACAATGCCCCCGTAATCGGAATTTAATCCTACGAGCCAGCCAACTCCCGAGCTAACACCCGAGCACCCCCTTCCCACCTCCCACTAGAGAGTAATCTGTGCAGCTCAGTTTCGCTTATCTATCTTTATTCGTTACAAAAGTAATACATCGTTTATATAAAAGTAACCCACGCCTACAGAGTTGGTAGGCGCTGTCAAGAGAAGCAACTTGGCCTCCGACGCAAATACACCCCATCTTCACACAGCGAAGTTCGTTAGCCGATCCGGACCTCCCGTGGACGACGCAAAGTGTGCACCAAGGAACCCGTTCTGTGGAGCTCGATCTTGCTGGAGAGATACGCGTCCCCAGTGCTTAGTTCATGGCAAGCGTAGCTCCCACTCCATTGCATTTCTTCATCTCAAGAAATGCCTGGAAACGAGCTGGCGAAGGAAACACAGCCTTCCTTTAGGGCGGACGAAACTAAGAGCGCAGTTACATTGGTCAGGTGACATTGTAGACAGACAGCAAGGTCCTTTTAAAGT